AAGTTCGAGCACCCCGTGCTGAACACGCGTCACCGAGAGCCTTGCGCCGGGCACCCCCGCCGAGCACTTTCCCAGACCGGGCACTCGCCGAGCACTCCCCAAGACCGAGCACTTGAGGGGTGCCAAACACCAAGCGACACCGAGCACTCCCAATCGCCCAACTACCATAATGCCTAGCCGGTCCTCCTCACAAGGCAGTAGTGACCGGATCACAACCGGTTCCTCACGAACCGCTACTACTGACCACATCAAGGATAACCCCAAACAATAACCTCCCTATTAATCCATTCGAGGTTTGATCTTTGAATTTTAATTCACCAAATTAATTCATTCAAATGTTTGAAGAGTTGAATTCATATTCTCTTGAAATTCTTATCTTTTAGAAGTATGATTTAAACTTCTAATTGATTAGAATTTCAGGCATATGAATATGTTGATTGAAGATTTCTTCATATATCTGGTGTAAGAACAATTATTATTTGTATTTATTTTACATTCTTGATTTTTTTTTTTTATTAATTTTCATTCTTCATTTTGATTTTTTTTGTTCGTTGATTTATTTATTTTTTTTCAGATCTTGAATATTTATTTATTTATTTATTTTTTTTTTAATTTTGCATTCTTATTTTTAATTTGTCCCAATCTCACTCAACCAAATTATACAAACTCAAATAGTATATTAACTTGATTAAAGCCCAGCCCAGCCCACCCCACTGCCCTTAACGCCGATTAAAATCACTACTCAAGGCCCAATCCAATACACACAGCAACATAACCCCTTTTCTGGTCAAATCTTTTTGTAAACCCTGAATGAGCTCTCCCCCCCAAATTCACTTTTTGAGAACCCTAGACTGAGTTCTCTTTCTCTCCCAAAAACTGCGAACCATGCATTTGCTTCGTTGACCTTCGATGTCTCTGTCTTCTTCGCCCAAAAGGTTCCTCGCTACCATGTCTTCTCCATCAAGCAGGTTCCTTCCTTTGTCTCCTTTCAGACTCTCTCAGTCCAGGTTTTTTTGTGAGAATGGTAATCCTACTTTTGGTCCTTCTGCGGTTGATAATTCTGTTCTTAATCCTAATGATAATCCATCTTTGGTTGAGAATTATAATCGTTTTGGTGAGAGTGGTCATGCTGATAATCCTTCTGTGGTTGATCCTGTTGTTGATCCTGTTGGGGCTGATAATTCTTATGTTGTTGTTGAACCTGTTGTCTCTAGTTACTTTTTGTTCCTTTCAATCAAGCTGAACTTGGTTTTTCCCTTTTGTCTGTTTCTTATTTGCCTGTCTTTGCCTTTTTGGAAAATCGTTCTGACCCTTCTTGGTTAGTTAGGCACAGGCAGAAGATGTTTGTTTGATAATGTGTTTACTATTCACAATTTGATGTGGTCTGGTTCTAAGAGGCCTCACAACTATCGTGTTCCCTTTTCTATCTTCAAGTATATCATTTTTAGGGAAGATTTAATCCGCTGGGGTTTAACATTGGAATTTTTCGATAATTTTTGGGTTGATGGGAATTTATACTTGGGTGACAAGATTAATCTTCAGCACTTTTTCTATCAATTCTTAAAGCATGGAGATGAACTAATCTTTGATCACATCCAGTATTTTTTAAATGGGTTGATGGGAATTTATACTTGGGTGACAAGATTAATCTTCAGCACTTTTTCTATTAATTCTTAAAGCATGGAGATGAACTAATCTTTGATCACATCCAGTATTTTTTAAATTCCCATGTTATGTTCTTAGATGTTAAGCCCTTCTTAGATCTGATACCCATCCATAAAATCCGAATGTCTGATTTTCTACAATATATTCCATTTGACTGTGAAGTAAGTTCTATCATATTGGTGGTGGCAATCTCTTTTGGGCAAAAGAGATTGTTGTCCAATATACACTCTGGAGAACTCTGCAAGAAAGGATATAAAGCTTTCAAATATTATGATACTACACTTAAGGAGGGTGATGAGGGTGATGAGAAGGGTGTATGTCACTCAATATCAGTTTAATGAAGGAAAAGTTGTCGGAAGGACATTTTCAGCATAGTGTTTCCCAAGGTTGGATTTCTTGTCATAATAATTGTATTATTTTTTTTGTTTATATTTTGTGTGTTCCTAATTATTATTCTTTTATTAGACAATAAAAGAATTACAATTAGGAACCCACAAAATATAAACAAAAAAAAAATAACACAATTATTATGATAAGAAATCCAACCGTGGGAAACACTATGCTGAAAATGTCCTTTTTTGGAAGGACAACTTTTTCTTCATTAAACTGATATTGAGTGACATACACTCACTTCTCATCACCCTTCTCAAGTGTAGTATCATAATATTTGAAAGCTTTATATCCTTTCTTGCAGAGTTCTCCAGAGAGTGTATATTGGACAACAATCTTTTTTACCCAAAAGAGATTGCCACCAACATGATAGAGCTTGACTTCACAGTCAAATGGAATATATTGTAGAAAATCAGACATTCGAATTTGCTTATGGATGGGTATCAGATCTAAGAAGAGCTTAACATCTAAGAACATAACATGAGAATTTAAAAAATACTGGATGTGATCAAAGATTAGTTTATCTCCTTGCTAATTGATAGAGAAAGTGCTGAAGATTAATCTTGTCACCCAAGTATAAATTCCCATTAACCCAAAAATTATCGAAAAATTCCAATGTTAAACCCCAGCGGATTAAATCTTCCCTAAAAATGATATACTTGAAGGTAGTCGAAACCATCGACTCAAAAAGATTCCAAGGCCGACAAACCACTACCGAAACTGCAAAATGCCTATACAGTAGTCGAAACCAAGCCTCGAACCACTCCCGAATCGACCCAAATTCAATCGAGACAACAAAACCAACTCCCACACCAGCCCCACCCGAACTCGCCTAACACCGCTAGCCGAGCCCGGGAGGACCAAAGCCCCCGCCGCCTAACACCACTAACCGAGAGGGGTGGGAGGAAGAGGCTTGTTCTGCAACTCCGGCAACCGCAGTGAAAAACCCAACCAAAGCTCGGCTCCACCACAACGCTGCCAAAGCCCCACCCTTCAAACCGACCTACACCCTGCGTCACCACAAGCCACCAGAACTGGAGGTCAGACATCACTCGAAGACGAAGCCAAGCGAGATGAGCCTCCAGAACGCAGATTAGAGACATATCACGAAAGAGACGACCTTGAACAAAGGACCTGCCGGCGACTAAGACGCTGGCCAGTCTCCGCTCGGAAGCCGCACCAATTGCCCAATTTCCCATTAAAAAAAAAAAGTTGAAAATCAAATCATAACTTTCACCTGAAAAAACTCCATTAGAGAGACTGATGAGGTCTTTCAGTGCGAAAAAATCATTGCTGTCCAGAAGATAACCACGAGGCCCAAGACCTTTATGGATGGACCTACGAAACGGGCAGTGAACATAAGGCAGCATTGCTCTTATTCTACTTCGGATATTCGCCACATGCTGCAAAGTCGGCACTTTTGTAAATAGGAACGGGTTAACGGCACTGACACAAAGCATTGGCTGCAAGAGAAATGATAAGGGGAAAAAATAGAACAAGAAATATTTGAGAAAAAGTATTTACTTTTTCTAACATATATTATTATGCATTCAACGTACCTGGTCATTAATAGAATCCAAAAACGACTTAGCCATTTGAGAAACAGGGTACCGAGTAAAATCCCAATGATGAAGGACTCTAGCTGGCAACACAGCAGTATCATTATTATGGCACGACGGGCAGAAAAGCTGGCCACTCTATTCACAAAGACGGGGTTCACCCCAACCTAACGCTTGCAAGACAGTTGTTCTTCCATCATCAAAATTTCTATGACAACCCGCACACCTATAATGTTGAGAATCTAGCATCTGTTTCATCGACTTCAAAGGCCTTTTTTCAACAACAAGCGATATAGTCTTTCCCAAACCTTCCACATGCATGTTTCTGTTACATATGGTTGTATGAGGAGAACCGGGCTCTATTTCTGATGGGGAGAGGAAAGAAATAAGTGCATTATGTGAACTCGAACTGAATTTAGGGTGAATTACTGATTGTAAACATTCTTGGATAAGTACACTCCTATCGGCTATGACATTCAGAGAAGCATTGCCAAAAAGCTTTCTGGATTCTCTTTCTACATGAGACCAAGGTGAAGGAAGGGTCCATCCGTGATCGTCAAATAATTTCTTCAACCGATGGTAAAGAGTGCTAAATTCACGATAACGACGTTCGATGTCCCAATGGTCCTCCACGCTCCAAACTCTTATTTTGTACACTGTGTATTTTTGCACACCGACTAAACGCTCAATAAATGAAACATCCCCTTTTCTTTGACTTGTGCCAACTACCTCTATTTTATCGATTTTAGGAGGTTGATGAAAGAAATTGTAAGCATAATCCGTGCCAGATGTTGAAGCAGTGGAGCCCCCGTCTCTCGAAGGGTCAGAAAAATGGGATTGGTATATTGTAGCACTATGGGTAAATCTAGACCTAGAGGGCTCGCCCGAGTCGAGCAGTATATCTTCCATTTCGCTAACGATTTCATCATAGAAATCATTCAACTCGAAATCCATTTTCTGTAAGACAATTAAATGACGATTTAAGTAATGAAAAAATGGTTTTTTTTATCATTGAGACAGTACCCATCCACCATATATATTTAAGAAAAGACATGAAGCTAAAATACCTTATCCGGCACAAAATGATCTTCAGCTTGATCAAATGCAAAAGAATAGTTCTTCTCTGCCGTGGCACTTGTCGAGGTATCTGCAAAATGGTCTGGTTCATTATCATTTGCTCGAACCAGATGATGGTGATTGGTCCCAGATTCAGAAAGAGAGTCCAATTCTTTGTTTTTAACCTCCGAACTCTTATTGTTCAATGCAATATCAGAACGACGAATGATCTCGAGAGTAGTTCTGTCTTCAATTTTCACTTTGCATTCACTTTCACCAATGTTCACTTTGGTTTCACTTTCGCCAATTTTCAGCTTCTCTTTTTCCGACACTTCGTTTCTCACAGGATCTTCGTTCCTTTCAAACAAACTGTAACTAGAAGTAGGACCAAGATAATCAGCCAATTCATCCATATCATTCACTTCATTACTCAAAGCAACCACTCTTTCAGCATCCACAGATCGTGCACCAAATTTCATCAGATTGGTTGATTTTGTAAACGGAACATTCACGTCTGTCTCAGCTAATGTACAACCAGCCTCATTTTCCCTTCCTTCGACTGTATCACGATGCGTTACAGGATTATCGGTCCTAAACCCTAAAGAACTAACATCATTTCGAATGCTGGCCTCTCGTCCGGTTTGGATTATATTCCAGCCCGTTGAACCAATCGTACTTTCCCTGCTTTCGTTAACAAAATCGTCCCAATCGTCCGAACCAAAGGCCACCGCTGAATTCATAACCAGCCGATTTTCTCTTCTTTCATTTTCTCCACCAAAAAGAGGAGCTTTCTTGTTATAATATGAACCAATCTTATTCTCTCCATCACTACCACATCCAAACATCGAGTCCTCACCTTCCAAGTGCTCGTACCTTGACGAAATTTCACTTTCATCTGATGAGTTCTTGATTGCCTCACTGTTGTTAACATCACCAACTACCGGAAAATCACCCGAATTCCGAACACTCGCCCCACCAACCGTCTCGTTTTCATTCCCAATCAAAACCCCATTTCCCCATCGACCACCGACATCAAAACCTTCCATTTTCCCATTCAAATTCGATTCACCACAGCTCGATAACACCCTATCCGCCTCACGATTCTGAGAATTAACACTTTCTACCCCGGGTCTGAAGCCCCTCAGCGGCCCGAAATCCGGGTCCCCGTACGAGCTGCCCCGGAAGCTGGGGGTACCCATGGCCGAGCTGGCACTGCAGTACCTGTCGAACTCCGATTCACCGCCGCAGGAGGAGTAGTGCGATAGATCGTCCCCGCCGTCCGATTCCCGATCCGACGACGGCGGCGGTGGCTTCTCCTCCGGCGCCTCTCCTTTTATCATCTCGTGAAAACCTCACCACTGAAGGATAACTGGAAATAGATCGCCAATTTGAAGCCTATGCATTTCCAGTGAATCAGCAAACAGAGAGAGAACAAGGATTCGACTCTCAAGTAGAGAGAATGAACGAGTAATTTCAATTTCTAATCAGTTTTGTTGCCATATGTGTGTGTTTGTTTTTCCGGCTGAAAATAAATCTTTGTTCGACTATTTTCCATGTTGTTTTCAACTTTTTGTTTATGTATAATTATTGACTTTTTCTTTTTTCCAAGTATAATTATTGACTTAGGAAAATGCTAATCATTATGTTGGAACAGTTAGATCATTATATAATCATCGTAGTGTTTAGGTCATTATGTGACCGTAAGAGATGAAATTGATCCAATTATTATGAATCCCAACCGAATGATTTTGTATCCGAACGATAAAGGTCCCTGTACCAAAAAAAAAAATGTGTTATTTAAAAAGAAATAAATAACTTTTTGGAATCTCTCTCTGGAAATATAAAAACTAGGGAGATGCTATCGGTCCCGTTACGGTACCATCCCATCGGTTATTTTAACTGTTAGATTTACGTGTAGTTAGATAAGATCGATGATCCAACGATTAAAACATCCGACGAGATGGTACCGTAACAGGATGGTAGCATTTCCCTAAAAACTATTTTGTCACAAAAATAATCTCACTGTGGAGCTCCTGCTAAAACCCACTCATCAATCAAAATGTCGCTCTCTCGCCACCTACTCCGGCGACGGCCTACCAATCTCGCCATCACACGCCACTTCTCCACCAACGTCACATCGGAATCTCCACCATCCCGTCGTAACCACCACGAATTCATCCCCCCGAGCTCCTACATAAACTCTTGGAAACCACCGCGTAACCCTAAGGAGGCCGCCGCGCAGCTGGCCTTCCTCCGCCGCGATTACGACCGGAAGTTCAAGCAAATCCGGAAGGAGTACATTCAGGAAATGGAATTGCAGAGGATCGAGAAACTGCGAAGGGACGAGGCGAGAAAGGAAGCCCTGAGGATAGCTAACGAGGAGAGGAAGGCCGCCAAAGCCGCCAAGAAGAAGGCGGAGGCTATCGAGAGGCAGGCTGCTGAGGAAGAGTTCCGCGAGATGCTGGTACGATAAATTACTTATCTTCGATGCCTTTGAGGATCCTCCATCTTGTTGTGTGTTCTTCCTTTAGTTTGTTCCCTGTGTATTTGTGTGATTGATTTAGGTTCATGTTGTGCGGGAAAAGGATGAAATCATCTATGCATTTAACTTTCCTGTAATTTTTATCCCGTGTTCATATGTCAGATGTTCCTCTGTATTGTGCAATAGAAAATCGAGTCAGCTACATAACTTGGCCTTAGTTAAATGACTACTGAGTTTGGGCACTCTTAAAGAGAATTATGGACCAACATTTTGTAGTAGTATTGAGTAGTAAGAATAACTTAGCTGAAAACTTCAAGCATAGCTATCTTTTCTGTGAAAAGAGAAAAGAATAGGGTGGTTTTACCGCATTGAGATGTATCTTCTTGAAGTTTATGCAGATTTTGTAACTTTACATACTTTGGTCATACTAAATAGTCGCAACAGCTATATCTTACTTGGAAATCCAAGATTGGCAAACATTCTTATTCCCATAACATATTTGATTCGGTTGATACTAAATTCTTGTTTGTATCACAGCTGATGTTTTTATACATTTTACCCTCCTAGCCTTGGCTGCACGGGATTTATTTTTCGTTGTATGTAAGCGTTCTTTTTCCTTTTAGTTTTCCCTTGTCCGTCCTTTCCTTATTTAGATGATGATAATATGAGTTGTAGTGTTATGTTTGAAATTTGCTTGTCTCGTGCTGGATATATATTGATTGTTAATTGAAATTTCATCACGATAGCTCTTTTATTTCCACC